TACCTGAGTCTCGTATTTATCTTTTCCGGGGTATAAATGCTTTGTGGACTCACAATAGCTGCGGCTGCGGGGGCCGGGGCGGTGGCTGAGGGAGGGGGAAGCTTCATAATTTTTTAATTAATATTGTTGAAAATATCAAAGTCATTGGCAATACCTACAGGCTACTAGTGGGGAAATACATTTTTGGTAAAATATTTTTCATAAAGCATTCCATTTCAACGAGTGCAAAGGCGAAGTGGCTTATTACGAATTTAAATTATAAATACGTCCAACCATTGTTAATACCCACTCACACATTTATTTAAGCCTTTGCAATATTTTTGATATATTTCTTTTCATTATAAATACACATTTATTAAAGCCTGTGTGATTATTTTATAGTCGTTTATGATACTGTTGCATAATAAGGGTACTTATAACATGAGTGTGTTTTAAAAAAACGAGCCGTAGGCGAGTGTGTATAAGACCAAGTTATGTACAGTGTCATACACTACTTTATCTACTCTCATACTATAATACGTAAAACAATATTGCAAATAAAACGCTGAATATAACAACAAATTAATTTTTACTTGTAATAATTATTGATGTTCTGAATATTACAATTATGAAACTGAATTTGAACCGGACAGGAAGCGTTATTGGAGGTACTCAGAGAGGGTATGTTAATCTAAAGAAAAGTTTACTAGAAAAAAAATCCACGCGGACCAGGCAGCGGACGGGACTCGAACCTGCATCCTTCGCAATCCGGGCGAATGCACTGACCATTATGCTACCATTATTATACCATTATTTTTTTTCTAGTAAACTTTTCTTTAGATTTAAACATCTAGCAGTTAAATGCTTAAAAAATAAATAAAATCATAGGGTATGTTAATGTTGACCTCATTTCTGTTATGTTCAATACTGTTAAGTATTGAATTGGATACAGCAATCTTGTTAGTCATTGAATCATCTATATAGCCTTCTGCAACTGTCGTTGACTTCCAGCCACCGTGTCGCTTTAGTGCCGTTATATCTCCACCAGCGTCAACTAGCAAGGTCGCAGATGTTCGGCGAAAGCAGTGTCCTGTGTACAATTCGGGGTTCAATTATTATTTTAATTATTTGTACAATTCAGTTGAAGATAGCTGGCAATAACTTTGCCTAAAGCTAAAAATTTGTTAATGCCAACTCTCTGCGTCGTGCATTTTCCGGCAATATAGTTTAGAAAAAAACTGGGATTGCTGCACTCAGTTGGTCGTAGCTTTATGTATTTTTTGCATTGTTCATAATATTTCCCAGTAACGGTAAAAGAGCGGTCCGTCTTGGTTTTAGTTTTACTTATTTTGATCAATAGTGTAATTTCGAAGACTTCAACATCTTTGAATTGTATGTTGTATAACTCTTGCCGTCGGCAAGCACCCATTATACCAAAAATTAGTGCAATCTGTAACAACTTATATATATTTATATATTACGGTAAATTAACTCAAATACCTTTGTGAACAACTAAAATACCTTTGTAAAGAGGAGATATAATCTGTCTGGGGCTTCATTTAAGAACTTATTTATCTGCTCTGCTGTAAAAGTCTTGGATTTTTTCCCTTTATATCCTTGTGAGCTTCGTTTCAAAAATGCAAACAGCTTGCTATATTTAGTTATATGTCAACTTCGTTGTAAATATTGAGTGTACTTTTAATCATGGAGTATTTAACCCACATACTTGACACTATATTTTTCAGATAACTCTTGAAAGTACGCTAACAACACATTTTCAGAAAATGATGTAGCATTTTTATTCATTTTCCATTCCATGAATTCGTGGTAACATTTATTATAGTTGCTCCTAGATTTCGCCAGCAACAGGTTCATGGTCATGTTTGACGCAGCTTCCAGAATATCTGGTGGTGTACAATCACCACTATCCTCGCTTTCAGACATGTTTTTACACAAAAACTTATGTATTTTACAAACGAGGTTCAACCTCCTTGGTCCAGCTGGAGGTTGTATAGGTGTATCGTTATGATTAAAAAGTTATATTATGTTACAGGTATCCGTCCATACAAGACCTGTATCGTAATTAATTTTTTTTTTATTATTTTTGGCCTGTACGTAATGTTTGTCATAAGCATTTTGTTTTCAGTTTTAGAATCATTGTATCATAATATCAGAGTAGATAAATATATTTCTTTTCATTAAGAATGCAAATTTGCTTTGGTACTTCATTGCTATATCGATCGTTTAGTCAGTTCGGGTTCGGTAGTGTCAAAATATATCGATGATAAAAAAATATAAGTTACATACTTTTGACAGTAGATATTTTATTTACCAAATAATTAATAGCTTCTATGCCCAGCTCTGCCTGTGTGTTTATAATGAAAAGCATAGAGCTACGCCCTATTACCCTCATATAATATAGTTTTTTTTAAAGAATTGATTTTGCTCTTCTGCTTGCACTCAGTAACTTACTTTTTCTTTGACCAAACTATTTTCATATTATTTTGTGTTATATTTAACGGTACTTCATAATCGTTGGCTGTCGGGATTCCCTTAAACAAAGCTATTGTATCGGAAATTCGTGTCACTCAGAAGGGGTGCACTTTCGTAACCGTTTCGTGATCATCCGTCGGCAAACCCATAGGAAAACAGGGGCTTAAAGGATTTCTCGCTCGAGGTGGCGCTTTAATTATGACACAATTTCCATATGGTTTAACATGTTGTTGTTACTGCTAGATATTTTCACCTGAGAGTGTGGGTTATAATAACAAGCAATATTTGCAAGAATTAACTTTATTTTATCCTAGATTTTTACCATTATGCTATAATAAGAGGAATTCCTTCAGCGCAATCCGTTCAGAGGTTTAGGCAGTTGTCTTAAGTTGTGTTGATAGATCTGTCAGTCAATGCCTTTTATAATTACATACATATGACTTTGTCACCTTATTTATAAATCCTAATGTAAAGTTACATAAAATTCCTAATAATAATGCTTTTATAGAGATCGATATTATCCATTAGAGCAGACGGAAGTGGCAATGAATTCAGACAATGTATGATAAAATTTTATTACGGGTACAATGGCAGTGAAAATTAGCGTCATTAGCGACCGCTCATGTAGATTGGCTCGCCGGGTATGGTGAGCTAATTGATGTAATGGGCTTCTTTGTTGACCATCAAAAGGATTTCACTGCAAATTTCTGATTTCTGATTGAAAAAGTATGTCGACTTTAAAGAAAAAATGATGACCTGAAAAAAAATTTAAAAAATGTTTTGTAAGAGTTTATCCACCAGTCTGCATGGATTTCCAAGAATGTCCCTTCTTTTTACAATCCGTGGTCCTTTAAGACACAAACATAATTATCTCGCCGGGTTGACTTGTGTGTCTCAGAAGTCTACTGCTGCCTGCTGCTATTTTCACCTTCACTTTAGGTGGAATAGTTTGCTTCAACCTGTTTATAAAAAGATTAATTTTTCAATCGTCCTTGATTTTTTTAACACTAACTTTGATTTTATGAGAAGCTCGAAGTTGTTGTTGGCGCGTAAGTCGTTCTACTGCGGAATATCGTGATGGATGATAAAAAAATCTGTTATATCCAGCTCCTTTGTTCTTCATCTGATGTAGTTATTGTCCTTTAATACAAACTAGGTCAGTATGGTGAAAAACGGTCCATTATTATTGAGTTATTTTGCCCTGTTACAGTACCAAACCTAGCAGACAGGAATATTAGTATATTATTATTTAGATAACTAACAATATCGAAATAATCAAACGTTGAACACACAAAGAAGCATCGAAAATTGAAATTTCAGTGCAACTGACCACTTTTCCGGGTGCAAGTCAGACCAATAATTACCCGCCATTACAGCGCCGGCCAATCACGTGCTGCGAAAAATTAATGCGAAGGACGCATTTAATCGGCGACCGACCGAAGCTTTAATAATTTTAGCCAGCCTATTAAATCCGTAATTCTCGTTCCGGTTATTGTAGCGATCCGTGAATTTAATATGATCAGAATCCAATTTTATACATTAACCGTATTTATTAATGACATACCGAAATGTTAATTTCGTATAAAGCTTATTTTTAACCGACTTTAAACAAAAAGGAGAGTAGGTGTTTTTTCGTGTTTGGCGATATTGAATGACTAATATATCGTAATGGCCCAATACGATAACGAATAACGATTCGAATGCATTTCGATTTTCTGTTTTATCGCATTTTATTGAATTTATTTGTATCACTTTGTCTGTTATTATATCAATATTAAGACCTGGTACAAAATAAAATTTCGCATTTTTAATTTATTTAATTCTATAATTAAGTTATCTTTTTTAACTGTTTCATTTTTTTGTTCAATTTTCTGCGTTAAAGCTGTAAATGGAAAATAAAAAGGGATGTGTGAGTTCAAACTTTGTCGCGTTATGTGTTTCGTTTCACTCGAAACTGTAGTTACTACTGCTAATAATGTAAAAATATTAAAAAGAATGAATCGTATCGTAATGTTTACGATAGCGAATAATCTTAAAAAACTTATGATAATCGTATTATGGCGATTCGGTATCATTGCATCCCTAGTTAGGTATGCTCCGGAGATGGTCTCATATTCACCAAATCAGGATGTGATGATGGGTTCCTGTAGCATTTCAAAGAACTTTCCAAAAAATATAGTCATATTTAAAGTTATTTATGTATTTTTAATAGTAAGTAAGTAACTGTACTGTACTACAATAATCTGTGTTCAGACCAGGATTTCTCAATCATATTTCTAATTATACTTCGAAAAGTTGCATGAATAAGTATTTAAAGTTGGACCTACAAACACGCAACGTACTGCCTTTCGTTACCTAAGTAGCATTGTTCTAAAACAAATGAAAATATCGCCAAAATCGCCTCCCACATCAAAGCAACAGCGTCATTATACTGAGAAGATACTAACCGAAACATCCTTATTAACCGAGCCGGGTAAAGGAGTGGCGGGAAGTCGGGCGGCTTATCTCTTCCCTTTAATTGTCCACAGGGGTGCTATCGCGCGGTTTATGCGACGGCTATGGTTGTAAAACGTTACGGCCGCGTCGCGTCGCGTCGCGCGCGTTCGGTGTCGATCGTCGTGTGTACGGAGCCTTATCGCGTCGTTTGGATATTACAAGTTGAGTGGGTCAGATTATTTTAATAATTTCTGATTCCTGAGGCATTTTCACTAAAAATAACTGTTTATAAAAGATTTTTTTTGTTAGTCCCTATGAGTGATGGGTGGTTTAAGTTCTAGAGCACCGAAGTACGCAATAGTTATTTTGATTCTAGTAGGAAATGGTTTTAGTTTATAGATGTAACGTTTTACGCAAAAAATATTGATAGTGTAGAAGGTTGCCATAACTTACTGTAATACGGATGACAGTATCACAATATTGTTTTATTATATTTTATTTTATTATTTTTTCGGAAAAGATACATCTCATACAAGTTTATGTAACAAAAATGTAACACTGAAGGCCATTTAAAAGTTTCTACTGATAACACACGTTTGTCCTAAATAAATGGCAAATGAGGTTGTTGATTATCCTAAATAAACTAAAATAAACTATCATTGTGCAGAACATTTTTACTGCTATTTCAAAAAGATGAAATAGAATAGAAGCTACTCTTATTAACATTTAGTGCATTTCATAGAGGTTTTCTTACTTTCCCTTCACGTAGATCTATATTTGAATAATTTAGTTTGTGAGCGAATCCGTGCACTTCCTGCCACACCTACTTTTAGGTCGACGATCACAATAAACTCTGATGTGTGAATGAAACGTAACTGTGACACTCTCATGGCACGAGTTGTATTGATACGTATTTAAAAAAAGCTCAGCGTAGCGAACGAGTCACTGGTTTACTTACATACTTATTCATTACATACTTAGATACCTAGTATACGCCATATACCTACTAGATTACAGTGCAAACCAAGAGATCTTAAGTTAACATACCATAATTCAGGTACGTTTTATTATAAAGCTTTACTATTTGTTCAAAATTGTACCACAAAAACAAAACTACTATTGTTTTGTACAAGACACGACATGACATTGGTGTCGATTCTGGTATGATACTCTAAACCTAAACTTACATTTAACAATAGTGTATCCTTGTCGTTCATAATACAGAATAAAAAGGAAAGACTGATATCAAATTTAGTTTTAAGTTTAGAGACTATTTCAGAATCAACACCATTGAGATTTAATAAACTGTTTGAGCACATAATTATCTCACTATGTCATTCCCTCCCAGGGGTGATCAATTCCGACATCAGGTAGCAAATACCATTACTTTTCGTTAACTAGCTATAAAGTTTAAAAATAAGCAATAAACAATAAAATTACGAGCTTCCCTCCACGATCTTCCCTCAGTACTATAACACGATCCGCTTCAAGAGAAGCTTTAATAGAGCTTCCACGAAAAGGCGGGGGCATGGCACTGTTACTGACAGTACCGATATCTATGGACGACGATGACCACTTAAAATCTGCAGTGCTGTTCTGTGAAGACACAAAATTTTCTCGCGCTGATCCGTATCGGATCGGCTATGGATCTGCGCGTGACAAATTTTACAGAATAAGTACTATTCTGTAAAATTTGTCACGCGACAGAGGGCCCGTTCGCTCGTCTGCCTTCGAAAAAAAAACATGTCGTAGGCTTTTTAAACAGTAACATTTGACAAAACTTTGCAGCCGGCTGTAGGTTTAAGCATTTTCCACCCTGCCTCGCTTGCTTCTCTTGTTTCAAGAATAAATACACCTCTTTAAATGTTGTGTATATTCAACATTAATGTCTGATCAGTCATCAATGTTAATGACTAATCAGAGATCAATGTTAATGCTTAAAACCTAACCTTTTGTTTTTTAAAAGTTAGGTACAGTCTTTAAATGTTGTGTATAATGAACATTGATGACTGATTCTATTACACACAACATCCAACCAAAACTATCTGTCCCATCCTACAATATTTAATACTAATATGGCTATGACATGAATTTAGTTTTTTTTGCTTATTAATTAATCATTAATTTGATCTTAAATACAATTACTAATCGGTTGAGTTTTCGATTACAGTTATGATCTAAATCTCGTACCAATATATCTCACTGCAGTTCTTAGAATGAGTTTATTGCAAAAATAACTTTATTTTTTACCAAAACAAACATTTCTGTTAGTACATAAGCCACATAATAGGTACCCACAGACATGTATGGCGCTGGCGGATTTATCTCTTTACCATCCGATTCGTTACCTGCACACAAGCCGTAACGTATGGACAATTACGTCAAACATTAGTCTAGCACCACAAAAACACACACATTTCAACAAAAACAAACGTGAGGATTGCCTCTGAGCGCTGATAATTTGTCAGGTGCCGTTCTTGTCAAAGATCAAGCAATAAGAATAAGTAATACGCAGGTAGACATGGGCGTTTTTGGTTTTGAACGCAAACGGATATTTATCGGATTTCAGATTTCAAAATCGATTTTAAAATCCGTTTTTAGATATTCGATTTCAGATGTGCCGAACTTAGCCAATTCACTAGTTTGTGTTATGATTTGGTTTTATTAGCTAACGACAATCACAAACAATTAATTGTACGAAGCAAGGATACTCGTAGGTTTGCGCGATTTTCCTTTATGCTTTATATACAATGATTTCTTTTTACATATTTTTTTAGTATTTTTTTTTGTTTTTGTTTATTTTTATTATTTTTCAAACCATTTACAAAATCAAACCTAATTACTTCAGGTTAGCGTTCAAAAAAATGTCAGTTGCTCGACTTTTGATGTTTTCAGACGACATCTTTTTCAGTTTCCGTAGACAGCAAACCGAAATCGGACTTCCGAAAACGAAAGCACGAATTTCGAATCCGATTTACATTTGGATACTTGTGGTGGTATTAGATCGCTAGAGATCGTTTTGGTTCGGTTAGATTTCTGAAATCGGATTTTCTTGTTGAGAAATCGTTCGGTATCGATTTGTGTTTGAAATCGGATTTTGGATTCGTTTTGATATATCGGACGCATGCCTATACGCAGGTATTAAACTTACATCTCAGCAGTTTCCAAAGGTATTAACTTCATTGGTATATCAATGATTTTTAGATAAATTTTGTAGACTATTCGTAGGTTTGGTTAAAATATTGAATGCTTTTATCTATGATGATGCGATTCGTATTTAAAGACTACATCAGCAAAGCGAATTGTTCCAACCTGCTGCCAAAATAAACAGAAACAATATTAACAACACTTGCAATTTTATATTTATGTAACTAATAATATTTTAAAGCGAACTATAAATCATAAATTATGTGTCAGTAGCGGCCGCCCGCGACTTCGTACGCGTTAACTTTAGTTTTTTAAAAATTCCATAGGATCTCTCATCTCATTGCAGGTCATGAAATATATGCGTACCAATTTTTATCCAAATCCGCTCAGTAGTTTTTGCGTAAAAGAATAACAATCATCCGTACATCTACACAAACTTTCGCATTTAATATATTAGTGGGATACTGAAAGGAAAATACTCTTAAGCATTATTTTCTGGGAGGTGAGCATTGCGTAAGCAGGTAAAGAATGGTGAAATACAAATTATTTAATCTTTGACCTAACTCGTGGGAACAATCCGCATCGGTGCCGTCCCGCTAACGTCTTCTTCAGAGGGGGATGAAATATCTAAACGCAACTCTCTTAATGGCCCTCATTTATTTCTCGCCGAATCTCGCACTGAGCTTTCGTAATTATTGCGTTTCCAGTAGGGTTATTAAGTTTTGCTTCGGTTAAAATGAGAAATGGCCGCATTTATTCGATGCTCCACTTGATATCCTTTTACCGGCAAAGGGTTGAAAATTTAATTTTAGATGACGGTATTACGACGTAATTAATTTAATTGTAGCGCTTTGCGGTAGTGCTGAAATAAATGTCATGATATTTCTAGTATAATCAGCCAATTTTTAATTTCACAATACCGTACAAATTAAATCAATGCTTAAAATTTTGCATACATCAGCCACGATATATATTTCATTATTTTACACAATTATTAAATATGAACCACCTAAATTTTATTTATAATACGCATTTTTCAGTTTTTGCTAAATTATATCCATCATATTTTCAACGACGCGATGCCAACTTATCTCGTAAAATATATTTCGTTCCATTTAATTGCCAATTCGGAATAGAATAAGTAAGCACAAACCTCTTTGCCTTCTATCTTTCAAGTCATGCTAATGCCCTGAATTATTATCCGGACTTCCCGATAAGTTGCACAATCAATTGTTCGGAAACAGATAACAAGTGAAATAGATTACATCTGACAAATCGCCTCTAATTGCCCGCAATAATCCCGGCCGATATCTATTGACTGGTGTAACTGCGAAGTACCTAACCCCTAAGAAATATTCCCTCTTCAAAGCCGATACGCTCTTTGTAAGTCCTTTTATATTTATGACCTGAGATACAAAAATGAGAAAATGCCAATACTTAATAATGTCTGCACTACTGAGGCTCATAAATGTAGAGACATATGGACCGTATGCCGATTGGTGCCAACGACTGTTTACAGTCGATTATGTCATTAGATTTATCGATCATTTCCAGTGGATAATAACTTGCAAAATTATCCTCATACCTCCTTATTAATAAGCAAGGAATAACCTTAGACTAGTTACGCCGTGTTTTGTTCATTTCACTCAAATGCCATTTGTCATTCAATAGACAGAGACAAAACATGGTAACTAATCCAAGAGTAGATTTCGTTTATTAATAAAGGGGTTAGTGTCTAAAATAACGCCTTAGTGCCTTATGGGCAAAAAAGGAGAAACACTTCAAACACAAACAGTTATTGAGCATGAAGTTAAATTATCAGATTTTAATCACCAGCGGAACCTCGACTGTACCTTTAACTGCAAAATGGGTTACAATGTATGATCCGATCATACAAAATACGATAGTAAGATGAGAATGCACATCAAAATTTGTATTTATGAATAGACAAATTTTGACATTGCTCCAAAGGGAAGTTGATATTAACATGAATCACGTTCGCTATGTCACATATTAGAATACAAGAAATTCCATGCACTCCAAGCCCAAGTTGAAGTATCTAATGCCGTAATCACGGCAGTACCTGATTGTCAAGCAGCACGGCCCTGTGCCGGCTCAGGGGCTCA